TTTTTGTCCACTGAATAAATGTTTGTTGGAGGTGGCTGATTAGCTTTGCACAGAAAATTCAAAACAATTTGAAAATGTAGCTTTGTGTGCAAATACAATTACTCGCCGCGTTGCAGAGATTGGTGAAAACATAGCGACTCAAATAGCGAAACATTCAAGCAAGTTTCGTCATTTTTCAATTGCAATGGATGAGTCGCTGGGCAGCTGTTCCACCTATCAAATTCTTGTGTCCATTAGAGGCAGTGTTTCTTCCAGGCTTTTTTCTCCGGGGGGGGGGGGGGGCACTTGAAATTTTTTTTGGGGGGGGGGGGGGGCGGTAGACTTTCTTCGGGGGGGGGGGGAGCAACACTGTTAAAAGTATATATTTTCTATATAAATTATATAAATTTCATTTCGTTCGGGGGGGGGGGGGGGGGGGGGAGCGGTAAAAATTTTTCGGGGGGGCTTTGCCCCCCCCCCCCCGAAGAGATGCCTGGAAGAAACTCTGCCCACGTCATTTACATACGAGATCATTAACGACCTCCAGCTGCAGTTTCAGTAGCGGTTATCTGACGGATTCAAACGCAGAAGAAGTGAGACTGTTTCAAAACCCATTTGAAGCAAATAAAGCCAGTTGCAAAGATGAACTGCAGCTGGAGGTCATTGAATTGCAAGAAAATGACTTTCTTAGAGACACGTTCAAAGAAGGGCGGATGGGTTTTCATACGGTTTTGCACAAGGAAGACTTTACTAACATTAAAACTTTTGCATCAAAGTACTTTTCAAATTTTCGAACAACATACCTGTGTGAACAAACATTTTCAAGAATGAAATACATGAAGAACAATTTTAGAACAAACGTGGACCTCGGGTGGGGAGGGGGGTGGACACTTGAAATTTGTATATATTTCTATAAAAATTATATTTCGTTGGGGGCGAGGAAGGGGCGGTAGACGTTCTTCGGGGGGGGGGGGGGGGGGGGCGCCACGACCCTGAAGAGATGCCTTAAAGTAACTCTGGCCCCCGAACTGATATTTGATAGTTAATGCGGCCCTCGGGCTGAAAAGTTTGGAGACCCCTGTGTTAAATAAAGTATATTTAAAAAAAAAAACCGTTGAAATAAGTTCTGCATTTAGAGGGGAACTAACGACAGACAGCTAAGGGCAACAGTCCAAAACAGAAGTTTTACAACTAATATAGTAAGTAAATATTTTATAACAACGAATGTTCTTCTTTTTAATTATTTTCTTTTTTGTTTGCATTATGCATTTTAATTACCGTTTTCAGTCTTATTTCTAAAATAATTTCTTTTTACTTTTATATTAAAAAATAACACTATATAATGCGTAAACTCAGAAACTTTAACGTTCTGTAATTGTCTTTTTTAATTCAAGATTCAAACTATGTCAGTTAGCTACGGACATCAGCTCAGAAGTTCCCAATTTGTCATGGGGGTCCTCACAGGGGATAGCCACACCTTGGCGCACGTGTGGATACGCCCCTGCGACCGCCTCCATTGAGGGAAACTCTGGTGCTTAATTTTTCTAATGGGGGACTACCACACGTAGTCTCCTGATTTAATTCTTATGACAAGATGGTGTAATTTGGCCTCACCCCCCCCCCCGATTGCAGGAATATCCGTGACGGTACGCCGTATCCCCAAGGCCGGCGCTACCAATAAGGCAAACTAGGCGGGCGCAAAATGTTTAATCGCTATTATCAAAAAGTACCTAATAATTAATAACTTTTAAAGGAGTAGCGATCTATTGGTAGAGCCAGGACGAACTATCAATTTTGCATCCCCGCCCCAAAATTAGGTCTATTTACCTCTTTATAGGCATATCTTCATTCGCGATAGTGAAAATACAACCCCACCTCCCTAATTTGGAAAGGTCGGGGCGCTTTTTACCAGGCACGTTGCCTTTTTAATTTGGTGTCACAAAATTGATGTAGAAAACGATTCAATAAGTTCGTTATTTAAATTTCGAACATTTCAAACGGTTATTTAATTTTAATATGGCTTGTAAGTCTCGTTTTCTCTGACTTTGAATTAGAAATATGTCCTGGTGTATAGAGTTTTGTAATGACGGGGTGTTCAAAGTATTGTCACTTGTTTGGTAAGTTTTGATGAATCGTTTAGATTTGGGAGTAGCGGCGGAAGGCTGTTGCTGATATGGTTTCGTAGGTATAAAGTATCGAAGTGTTTAAGTGTCATAATTTTTATTCGGCTGTTTTCTAGTTGAATATCTAGTGGAATCTGATTGGTAATAGAGAAATGAGATTGCAGGTGATGAAGTATCGTAGTTCTGGAGTTCGGGAGTATTGATTGCTGTGGTATTCAGGTATCGAATTATATTGACTGTTAAAGTGTAGTAGTAGGTCTAGTAAAATCGTTGATTGGGAGTACCGTTTGTTAAACTAGTTGGTGCCGTAGTTCTGGAGCATCGAGTCTAGTTATGTTTAGTTATCTAAGTTTGATATGTGTTGTGAATGTAGTAGAGTATTTCGAGTAGTCGAGTTTATCGTAAGTTAGATTATTTCAATTAAGTTCGGAGCACACTGCAAAGAAAGGTAGGCGTTCTCTAGTTGAAAAATCTTTAATTTTTAGGAATTTATATTACCACTCTTAATATATAATATTAAATAGGATGGAATTTATAACTTACCGCTAACTTTGTTTTTTCCAAATTATAATTTTTAAAATATTTAATCAATAGTTCTAGCAAGTCTAAAACTGTTACCCGTGTTTGATTTTTGAAAGGCGTCCCTTTATTTAGGGGATCTAAAATTTTATGATAGTGAATAATTTCTTGAAAACAGTTAAAAGAATGTCATCGAAATTGAATGGAAGTAATTTGTAATCAAGCTACCGTTTTTAGGCTTTCAAGCAAAACATACAGTTAAGTATTCAATAGGTAAAATATATTTTTTTTACAAGTTTACATAGTTAATATAAAACGATTCATACAATGATTACGTAATGAAATTTAAACCGTTTTATTTTGAATTTCAAGCATGTCTTAGTTACACTTGGTTAATTTATCTAATCTGGTGAAAGTTATTTCCCTTGAATAAAATTTTGGTATTTGTATTTCCAAATGGGAGATAATTCGTTGCTTAACTTTACATTCATTTTAAATTCCTGCACCCCGAGTTGACCGCTTACTTATAACTACAACTTTAAGTTATTATTTGATATTGTAAAAAATTATATAGAGCTTAAGATCTAAACAAAATAGTTTGGAAGTTTTTTTTTTAGCATTATCAAGTTGAGAGAGAAATACATCAGTAGCCGTTATAGATTTCAAAAGGTAACGTTAGTAGACACAGTCTTAAATTAAACATCTAATTAATTGTCTTTTCCTAAAGGATTTTTATATAACAATTTTAGGCTGGAATCTATATTATATATAACATTTTTTTTTTCATAAACAAAAAAAAATCGTTACATAATCACACAATATAGCCATTTTACAATTATAACTAAAGACAGCCAAGCTTAAAACAGGTAAGTTCCGTTTTAAAACTCATCTTGTGAGGACTGCAGGGAGGCCAACACTACAAGAACTTTTTTTTATTGTATTCAGTGTTTTTTTCCCAGACTTTTTTTTCCCCCAGACGGACGGGAAGCACTAATTTTCTAAGGGTGAGGGGGGGGGGGGGGGGAGAGTGAGGGGGAAGGGGGGACGACTATGTCGTAAAGTAAAAAGTAGACTCGTGCACTTAGCAACAATTTCAATAAAATGTGATACACTTGCAAACTGGAATTGAAAGAATTAGTACAAAAATTTGATTTTGATGTCTACTTATAACGTGTATGCAATTGATAATAAATTACTGTCACTTTTAATGAACTGTTTTCTTATACATATGTTTTAGCAATTAATTTGTGTGAAAGAGGGCGTTTTAAAAAGTTTTGCCTAGGGCGCTAAATAACCTGGCACCGGCACTGCGTATCCCCCACAAAGGAGGAAATGGATTCAGATATTCTCTGCAATTGCATGTACCCCCCCCCCCCCCCACCCCCGAAAAAAGTCTACCGCCCCTCGAAAGAAATTAATTTTATATAGAAAATATATACTTTTAACAGTGTCCGCCCCCCCCCCCCGAAGAAGGTCTACCGCCCCCCCCCCCCCACAGGTCCACAGACATATGGTAGTTGACGTGGTTGAGGCGATAGCTAGACCAGGAACATCTTTAGTCTTTATGGTTTACCGTTAACATAGTTTGCTAAAATATTCTCAATTAATAATTTACATAGGTTAGGTTAGCCTGTCGTCCCTCCTGGGACATAGGCCGCTGACAAGAGCTTTCCAGGTGTCTCTGTCCTGGGCTAGCCTTTCCAACTGTCCCCCGGTTTATCCAATCTTCTTGGTATCTTCTTCCAGGTCACGTCTCCAGGTCTTTCTTGATCTGCCTCTCATACTCGTGCCTTGTGGATTCCAGGTGAGGGCCTGTCTTGTTATGCTGGATACAGGCTACCTGAGTGAGTGGCCAATCCATTTCCATTTTCTCTGGAGGATCTCTACTTCAACTGGCAGTTATTTTTCCGTTGCCATAGAACATCATTTCTGATGGTTTTAGGCCAGCGAATTCGCAGGATCTTTCTGGGGCATGCGTTTATAAAATAATTTACATAATGTAACGTTAATTATTTTTTGATAGTTTTTTAATTTATCTATTTGTTTGCGTTTTGAGAAATACCGGACCTATTTATAAGTGTATTTTTTTTTCACAAATTTATTCTTGGTGAATTACTTGTCGTATTTATTTTTAATACACATTTTAATGATTTTATTGTTAAACTAAACTCCGTTTAAATCTTTACCATTCATGTTTTTAATTTTTTTTGGGTTATATTTTTCTATAGTGAATAAGACAAGCGAAAACCAGTAGATCTAATATTTTTTTTAGTTATTCCCGTCGTTGATTTTTAAAAAATTGAAACTAAATTATAATAATTTCAATAAAGAAACAAACAAAATAAAATTTTCCATACAGTTTCAACACAAAGAAAATCAAATGATTACATATCTTGTTTAATAAATATGTTTATGAACAAAAGATATCAATCTAGTAATATATGACCCTTTATTTATTTAATTTTTAAATTTATGGCCCTGTAGTTGCCATGTATTTTGTGTCTTTGTTATCCTGTAGTTTGAACTCTCGCTCTGTGTCACGTGACCTCGAGACCTAAAGATGGCGTCTCTCCAGCCAATCAACAATCACAGGCTTGAAGTGCTCCGCCCAGTAAATATTTTTCTCTATGCTGTCTATGGCAAGCATGCGATGGCCTTCACTGGCCCCTGCGTCTGGGTATTGTGCGAAAAAGTCTTTCACCTGTTAAAATAGTGGGTATTGTGCGAAAAAGTCTTTTACCTGTTAAAATAGTGGGTATTGTGCGAAAAAGTCTTTTACCTGTTAAAATAGTGGGTATTGTGCGAAAAAGGCTTTCACCTGTTAAAATAGTGGGTATTGTGCGAAAAAGTCTTTCACCTGTTAAAATAGTGGGTATTGTGCGAAAAAGTCTTTCACCTGTTAAAGTAATGGGCATTGTGCGAACTTGTCTTTTTCATGTTAAAATAATGTACTTTGTTTCTATTCACGTGGGAAAATAAAAAGGTGGGCGGACGGTGGGAGTGATCTGGACGCCACTACTGTCCATGGATGCTGTAGGGGGTTAGTTGGCTCATTGTGTAATCAGAAGCGAATATAGGGCATTTAGGCGGGGTAGCCGTCTGGGTCTCCCAAATCTTTGGGTCCTAAAAAATATTGTAGCTACGGCAAGTTGAGAATTGACTTTATGGGGGAGAGCACACAAGGAATGCCTGACCCTTTTCAGACACAGTGCTTTGACTCGCCCCTAATGTTAGGGGTGTGATGTCTGCTATGTGGAAATGTTGGTGCCAGCAATAACTCTACATCAGCTTGTAGTGTTTTCCTACCTCCAGCAGTAACTCTACATCAACTGGTAGTGTTTGCCTACCTCCTGCAGTAACTCTACATCAACTGGTAGTGTTTGCCTACCTCCTGCAGTAACTCTACATCAACTGGTAGTGTTTGCCTACCTCCTGCAGTAACTCTACATCAACTGGTAGTGTTTGCCTACCTCCTGCAGTAACTCTACATCAACTGGTAGTGTTTGCCTACCTCCTGCAGTAACTCTACATAAACTGGTAGTGTTTGCCTACCTCCTGCTGTAACTCTACATCAACTGGTAGTGTTTGCCTACCTCCTGCAGTAACTCTACATCAACTGGTAGTGTTTGCCTACCTCCTGCAGTAACTCTACATCAACTGGTAGTGTTTGCCTATTTCCTGCTGTAACTCTACATCAACTGGTAGTGTTTGCCTACCTCCTGCAGTAACTCTACATCAACTGGTAGTGTTTGCCTACTTCCTGCAGTAACTCTACATCAACTGGTAGTGTTTGCCTACCTCCTGCAGTAACTCTACATCAGCTGGTAGTGTTTGCCTACCTCCTGCAGTAACTCTACATCAACTGGTAGTGTTTGCCTACCTCCTGCAGTAACTCTACATCAGCTGGTAGTGTTTGCCTACCTCCTGCAGTAACTCTACATCAGCTGGTAGTGTTTGCCTACCTCCTGCAGTAACTCTACATCAACTGGTAGTGTTTGCCTACCTCCTGCAGTAACTCTACATCAACTGGTAGAGTTTGCCTACCTCCTGCAGTAACTCTACATCAACTGGTAGTGTTTTCCTACCTCCTGCTGTAACTCTACATCAGCTGGTAGTGTTTGCCTACCACCTGCAGTAACTCTACATCAGCTGGTAGTGTTTGCCTACCACCTGCAGTAACTCTACATCAGCTGGTAGTGTTTGCCTACCACCTGCAGTAACTCTACATCAGCTGGTAGTGTTTGCCTACCTCCTGCAGTAACTCTACATCAACTGGTAGTGTTTGCCTACCTCCTGCAGTAACTCTACATCAACTGGTAGTGTTTGCCTACCTCCTGCAGTAACTCTACATCAACTGGTAGTGTTTGCCTACCCCCTGCAGTAACTCTACATCAACTGGTAGTGTTTGCCTACCTCCAGCTGTAACTCTACATCAACTGGTAGTGTTTGCCTACCACCTGCAGTAACTCTACATCAGCTGGTAGTGTTTGCCTACCTCTAGCTGTAACTCTACATCAACTGGTAGTGTTTGCCTACCTCCTGTAGCTTTTCTCTGGTGCTGTACAACTTGACGGTGTCGTAGACAACTTCACCGAACCTGAGGTCATCTATGGTGAACCTGAAAATTGTTTATTTTACGTTGTTTTTTTTTTAATATTGTAAACGTTTTGATTTAAAAAAAAAAACTATGGACGTGAATCCGTATTTCCGAAAACTGTAAGGTTTAATAAAGTTTTGTCTTCTTCTTCTTCGTTCTTAATTTTAGTGTTGGAAGGGATCCTTCCACAATTAAGTATACGTGGCAACTGGTATGCGCCATTGAGGCCGTTGACTCCGATTTCAACCTGCTTTTCTTTTTGGATTGGCTTTCCAATCAAGAACAAACTACAAGGCAGCAGTTGTCTCTCCTAGAAGAGTGGCTGTCCCCAGCTAACGAGCCTCATCTGCCAGGGGGTTCGAACTCGAGACTTTAGCAACCATGAGCTTTACCGACTCGACCACGCCGACCCCTTAAGATTTGGTAAATGTAGCATGTTTTTAAAAATAAAACATAGTGGTGCTTAAATTACCCCTGTACAAACTCTCTAAACACTTCTAGTGAGAATTCATTTTTGTTGGTTTGCATATTACATTAACACTGAGCTATATAATGGAGGGTGTCACATTTAAAATTTGGTAACTAGAAAATTATGTAACATCAATTTACATGTCGGTAATTTGATAATTCTGTCCAGTTAGTCACTTCCTTGACGATAGAAAATTGATAATTCTGTCCAGTTAGTCACTTACTTGTCAATAAAACAATGATAATTCTGTCCAGTAGGTCACTTACCTGTCGATAAAAAATTGATAATTCTTTCTGATCCAGTCCCAGAGCATAGGATTGGCCACAGAGTTCATGCCAAGAATCTGGGTCACAGTGGCGAAGTCTTGACGTTTGATGCCAACCTCATCTTTCAGGTACCCCAACAACCTGCAGGGGATTATGATGTGGGTGCTCTAGATTTAGCTGACTGTCTAGATGACGATGTTAACACTCGGTATTTATGGGGGTTTTTGTAGTGTAAGTGTAGGAAATACCTATCAATTTCAAACACAAGTGCTGGAGACCAGTACACATGATATAAAAGCTGTTGTCAAGGATGCTATCTCAAGATGGTGTAGATGAAATAAATAATTTTATCAACGACATAAGATACCGTCAAAGACAACGATGAAGCCATCAAAATGTTTCCAATGAAGACAACAATGACACCGACAAGACAACATAACCTCCGACCACAATAAAGACAACAACAGTTCCTATAACGACAACAAGTAAGGCACGAAAACCTCCAATAACGACAACGACTTAAAACCTCCAATAACGACAACGACTTAAAACCTCCAATAACAACGACGACGACACAAAACCTCCAATAACGACGACGACTTAAAACCTCCAATAACGACAACGACTTAAAATCTCCAATAACGACAACGACTTAAAACCTCCAATAACGACGATGACGTCACAAAACCTCCAATAACAACGACGACGACACAAAACCTCCAATAACAACGACGACGACACAAAACCTCCAATAACGACGATGACGTCACAAAACCTCCAATAACAACGACGACGACACAAAACCTCCAATAACAACGACGACGACACAAAACCTCCAATAACAACAACGACTTAAAACCTCAAATAACGACAACAACTTAAACCTCCAATAACGACGACAACGACACAAAACCTCCAATAACGACGACGTTACAAAACCTCCAAAAACAACAACAACTTAAAAACCCCAATAACAACGACAACGACACAAAACCTCCAATAACGACGACGTCTACACAAAACCTCCAATAACGACGACGTCTACACAAAACCTCCAATAACGACGTCTACACAAAAACCCCAATAACGACGAGGTCTACACAAAACCCCCAATAACGACGTCTACACAAAACCTCCAATAACGACGTCTACACAAAACCTCCTTACTTGTCCACCCTCGACGTCTGACGTGTGGTAGCCAGGGCGTACATCAACAAATCCTTCTCGTGGGGCGACGGCTCTACCAGATATTTCTGCCAGATGACGTCCCAGTCCTGCGCTGTCCCCGCGAACATCATCCCAACCGTGTAAACTGTATGTTTCTGGTTAGGTGTGACGCTGGGAAAATATGTAAACTGTATGTTTCTGACAAATATGTAAACTGTATGTTTTTGGTTAGGTGAGACGCTGGGAAAATATGTAAACTGTATGTTTCTGGTTAGGTGTGACGCTGGGAAAATATGTAAACTGTATGTTTCTGACAATATGTAAACTATATGTTTTTGGTTAGGTGAGACGCTGGGAAAATATGTAAACTGTATGTTTTTGGTTAGGTGTGACGCTGGGAAAATATGTAAACTGTATGTTTCTGACAATATGTAAACTGTATGTTTTTGGTTAGGTGAGACGCTGGGAAAATATGTAAACTGTATGTTTCTGGTTAGGTGTGACGCTGGGAAAATATGTAAACTGTATGTTTCTGACAATATGTAAACTGTATGTTTTTGGTTAGGTGAGACGCTGGGAAAATATGTAAACTGTATGTTTCTGGTTAGGTGTGACGCTGGGAAAATATGTAAACTGTATGTTTCTGACAATATGTAAACTGTATGTTTTTGGTTAGGTGAGACGCTGGGAAAATATGTAAACTGTATGTTTCTGGTTAGGTGTGACGCTGGGAAAATATGTAAACTGTATGTTTCTGACAATATGTAAACTGTATGTTTTTGGTTAGGTGAGACGCTGGGAAAATATGTAAACTGTATGTTTCTGGTTAGGTGTGACGCTGGGAAAATATGTAAACTGTATGTTTCTGACAATATGTAAACTGTATGTTTTTGGTTAGGTGAGACGCTGGGAAAATATGTAAACTGTATGTTTCTGACAGTATGTAAACTGTATGTTTCTGGTTAGGTGTGACGCTGGGAAAATATGTAAACTGTATGTTTCTGACAATATGTAAACTGTATGTTTTTGGTTAGGTGAGACGCTGGGAAAATATGTAAACTGTATGTTTTTGACAGTATGTAAACTGTATGTTTTTGGTTAGGTGAGACACTGGGAAAATATGTAAACTGTACGTTTTTGGTTAAGTGAGACGCTGGGAAAATATGTAAACTGTATGTTTCTGACAATATGTAAACTGTATGTTTTTGGTTAGGGGAGATGCTTTAAAAATATGTAAACTGTATGTTTCTGGTTAGGTGAGACGCTGGAAAAATATGTAAACTGTATGTATTTGACAATATGTAAACTGTATGTTTTTGGTTAGGTGAGACGCTGGGAAAATATGTAAACTGTATGTTTTAGGTTAGGTGAGACGCTCGGAATTATATGTAAACTGTATGTTTCTGGTTAGAGGAGACGCTGGGAAAACTATATGTAAATTGTATGTTTCTCTTAAAGGCAGACGCTGGAAAATTATTTAACCTGCATGTTTCTGTTTAAGAACACTATATGTAAACTGTATATTTCTGGTTCGAAACTTTTAAAAATGTTTTTAATCTGAAGACGACGAACGTCGCCAATACCAACAAAATTTCGATGTTCTAGAACCACCTGCTGACCCTCACCTGGTTCCATTGTCCAGCCACCCACGAAACTTGGAACTAAGATTCTCTATGACTGGAGTGTAATTGGAACTCACTGCTAAGTTCCACAACATGTTCCGCAACAGTCTGACAAAATAAATCTCATTAGTTAGGACTTTGTGTGGTTGTGTCGTTGATTTACAAAAATGAATATAAGTGAGTTAATTCGTGGTGCTGATGCTGATATATACTTGAAATGTGGTGAAATTTATGTTTTATACTAATAATAATTTAACAATGCAAAGTATTCATTTAAGACAAGCCTTGCCGGATCAAAACGTCTCTCTCACCTCTCGGTGTTGGTACCTACGTCCTCAAATCCTAACTTTTCTATAACTGACTGAGAAATGTTTTTCACAAAATTCTGGCGACGAAAAAAAAGATATAAAAGATTATTTAAAAAAATATTCTTAAAACATCTATAATAATAGTTTCGCTGTCTGTCTGACAAGAACGCTCTGTCTGACAAGAACGCTCTGTCTATAATAATAGTTTCGCTGTCTGTCTGACAAGAACGCTCTGTCTGACAAGAACGCTCTGTCTGACAAGAACGCTCTAGAGAAAACACAAGCAATTTAAAAACATGCACAGTAATTCGAAAAACGAAATATGACGTCGACACATTTAGCGTAGAGTAGAACATAATCTCAAACCAGAGAGTGCACACAGTAATGTAATGACGTCATTGATTCTCGCGTAAACATTGAAAAAAAGGAAATGTTGTCTAATCTAAATGGTTTGCGTGAAGAGTTTCTTGCATACAATTCTTCGGGTAGGGGCGAAGCCCCACCACCCGCGTAAGAACGTCTGAGCCCCCCCCCCCCCTCCCCAACTCAAAAGAAATTTCCTCATCGATACTCTATAATAAAATTACCGCCTAATTAATGTGTCTAATCTAAAAAGTGGTTTTCTTGCAATGGGACGGTAGACATGTTTTTTTTTGGGGGGCGGGGGGGGGGGGGGGGTGGGGGGTGGGGGTGGGGGGTGGGGGGGGTGTGTGGGGGGGTGGGTTGGTTTCAGTGTTTCTTTCAGACTTTTTCCTCCCCGGAGAGGGGTGGGGGTACTTGAAATTTTCGGGGGCGGGGGTAGAATTTTCTGGGAGGGGGCGGACACTGGAAAAAGTATATAATTATATTTCGTTGAATGGGACGGTAGACATGTTTTTTTTTTTGGGGGTGGGGGGTGGTGGAGCGGTGGGGGGGGGTGGTGTGTGTGTGGGGGGGGGGGGGGTGGGGGGGGGTGGGGGGTGGTGTGTGGGGGGGTGGGTTGGTTTCAGTGTTTCTTTCAGACTTTTTCCTCCCCGGAGAGGGGTGGGGGGTACTTGAAATTTTCGGGGGCGGGGGTAGAATTTTCTGGGAGGGGGCGGACACTGGAAAAAGTATATAATTATATTTCGTTGAATGGGACGGTAGACATGTTTTTTTTTTGGGGGTGGGGGGTGGTGGAGCGGTGGGGGGGGTGGTGTGTGTGTGGGGGGGGGGTGGGGGGGGGTGGGGGGGGGGGGTGGGGGGTGGTGTGGGGGGGGGGGGGGGGTGGGGGGTGGTGTGGGGGGGTGGGTTGGTTTCAGTGTTTCTTTCAGACTTTTTCCTCCCCGGAGAGGGGTGGGGGTACTTGAAATTTTCGGGGGCGGGGGTAGAATTTTCTGGGAGGGGGCGGACACTGGAAAAAGTATATAATTATATTTCGTTGAATGGGACGGTAGACATGTTTTTTTTTGGGGGTGGGGGGGGGGGGTGGGGGGTGGGGGGGGCGGTGTGTGGAGGGGGTGGTGTGTGGGGGTGAGGGGTGGGGGTGGGGGTGGTGGGGGGTGAGGGTGGGGGTGGTGTGTGGGGGTGGGGGTGGGGTGAGGGTGGTGTGTGGGGGGGTGGGTTGGTTTTAGTTTAGAGATAAGAGACAGCACTATCAGCCTAGCGCCCGTTGTACCCTCCCTCAACGGGCCATTTTTCTCGTAATCAAATAATCACATTAAAAAAATCTTAAAACATAAACAAGTAATTCTCACGTAGTGAAACGAAACAATCTGTGTGAATACATTTCTAAATTATGTTTAAACCCTTTTTGTTTAGCAGAATTCACTATAGAATAACTCTTTGCTCTTTAAGTACCGTTTCGAACCTCACGATCCATGGGATAGGTGAATCAGATTTTACCTGCTTCATTGACCTCGGCGTGTGAAGAGATAGTGTGACTGGCACTATGCCAAGCCGTCTTTACTTTCCCTAACATGAGTCAGGTACCCATCAGAGCTGGATGGACTCAGTGACGTCCTTTTCACTTGAGCCCGGGATCCGAACTCGATACTTTCAGGTTCTTACCATTTACTTAATAATACGTCTTCTACACAACATAACAACTATCCAATATCTGCCACCCTACACATAAAATTGTGCAGGAAAAAGACCCTCGTCAGAGCACCTACCTTCCATTGAGGAATGTAAAGCAATGAAAAAGAACCTTGTCAGAGCCCCTACCTTCCATTGAGGAATGTAAAGCAATGAAAAAGAACCTTGTCAGAGCCCCTACCTTCCATTGAGGAATGTAAAGCAATGAAAAAGACCCTCGTTAGAGCCCCTACCTTCCATTGAGGAATGTAAAGCAATGAAAAAGACCCTCGTCGGAGCCCTACCTTCCATTGAGGAATGTAAAGCAATGAAAAAGACCCTCGTCAGAGCCCCTACCTTCCATTGAGGAATGTAAAGCAATGAAAAAGACCCTCGTCGGAGCCCTACCTTCCATTCAGGAATGTAAAGCAGTGAAAAAGACCCTCGTCAGAGCCCCTACCTTCCATTGAGGAGTGTAAAGCATCTGACTGATGGGGTTGATGCCAGACTTGATGGCGGTCGACCAGACGACATAATCCCCCTCCCTGTCCAGATAAGCCATCAGCTCCAGGGGCAGCTCGTAGGACAACTTCCCAGCGTTGGCCAGACTGAAGGCATCGTTTAGTAGCCCAGCACGGTCAGAGGCGGAGAGCGTCCAGTCCTAGACATACAAGCATGCACATTTCTAGACATAAAAAACACACATTTCTTCCATATGTGGACATACAAGTACAAAAATTTCTTCCATTTCTAGACCTACCTGTACAAAGATTTCTAAACATACAAGCACACATTTCTAGACATAACAAACACAAATTTCTTCCATTTCTAGACAAAAAGCACAACATTTCTAGAGATACAAGCACAACATTTCTAGACATACAAGCACAAAAATTTCTTCCAGTTCTAGACATAAAAAAGACATTTCTAGACATACAAGCACACATTTCTAGACATAACAAACACACATTTCTTCCATTTCTAGACATACAAGCACACCCATTTCTTCCAGTTCTAGACATAACAAATATACATTCCTTTCGTTTCTAGACATACAAGCACAAATATTTCTTCCAGTTCTAGACATACAAGCACAAAGATTTAGCCCATTTTTAGGCATACAAGCACAAAATTTATTTCCGTTTCTAGACAATACAAGCAAACATATTTCTTCCACAAGCAGAAAAATGTCTCCATGTTCTAGACATAGAAGCAAAAAAAAAATTTCGTCCACTTCTAAACTTACAAGCACAAACTTTCTCCAAGTCCTTGACACTAAAAGTAAAACATTTTTTCAGTACCTACCTCCTCCCCCTCCTCTTTACACCCACGAGAGAGCTGACTAAAAATACGACAACATACTGACGGTAAACAGAATAACAATAGTTGGCAAACCAACGTAGAGTCAACAAACTTACATCAACTGGAGTAGTGAGCAGGTAGTTCAACAATTTCCTCCACATCTCTGGGGGGTAGAGGACGATGTAGTAGCCCATCTGGTCAGTGTTGAACTTGACCCAGGTCATGTCGTTCTCTATATCCAGGTCTAAGGTGAAGGTTGCTGGGAATGTGTTCAAACACTCTCATTTAGAGGAAGTGTAATGGTGGCATCGCGATGGTATTATGATGGTAGAGTAATGGTATAATGATGGTATATTGAAGTTATATTGAAGGTATAATGATGGTATTATAATAGTATGATGATGGCAAAATGATGGTATAATGGTGGTATAATGATGGTAAAGTGATGGTATAATGATGGTATTATGATGGTAGAGTAATGGTATTATGATGGTATATTGAAGTTATAATGAAGGTATAATGATGGTATTGTGATAGTATTATGATGGCAAAATGATGGTATAATGATTACACAATGATGGTGTAATGATGTATAATGATGGTATAATGAAGGTATAATGATGGTATTATGATAGTATAATGATAGTATAATTATGGTATAATTATGGTATATTGATGGTATAGTGATGATATAATGATGTTATATTGAAGGTATAGTGATCGTGTAATGATGATATAATGATGGTATAACGATCAGGGGCGGGGGCGGGGGGTGCGGACCGCACCGGGTGACACCATTTAGGGGGGTGACACCAAGGCAAAAAATAGCAAAATATATGGAGAAAAAGTTGAGGGGGGGGTGCAAATCGAAAGTTTGAGGGGGGGGGGGGGTACAAATCGAAAACTTGAGGGGGGGAGGTGTGCAAATAGAAAGTTTGAGCGGGGGGGGGGTGCAAATCGAAACTTTGAAAGTTTGTTCCCGGGAAGGGTCGCTACGCCTCTGGGGGGGGGGGGTGACACCATTAAGTGCCGCACCGGGTGACACCCGACCTCGCTACGCCACTGATAACGATGGTATAGGAACCATGTACTTACTGTCATTCATGTCCATGCTCTGGGTCCCACTGAGTCCTGCGGACGTCTTGTAGGTGAGCTCAACAAACCATTTGTACCTGCAACATTGTACACCTTTTAACACTGTACACCTGTTAACATTGCACACCTGTTAACATTGTACACCTGTTAACATTGTACACCTGTTAACATTGCACATCTGTTAACATTGTACACCTGTTAACATTGCACACCTGTTAACATTGCACACCTGTTAACACTGTACACCTGTTAACATTGCACACCTGTTAACATTGTACACCTGTTAACATTGTGCACATGTTAACATTGCACACCTGTTAACAGTGTACACCTGTTAGCATTGTACACCTGTTAACATTGCACATCTGTTAACATTGCACATCTGTTAACATTGTACACCTGTTAACATTGCACACCTGTTAACATTGTACACCTGTTAACATTGTACACCTGTTAACATTGTACACCTGTTAACATTGTACACCTGTCTGTACTCGCTGCACAGTTTGTTTGTATACGGTTTATTTTTTAACTTACGTGTGAATGTGAGTTTGTATTCAAATGGGAAAATATTATGATATTCAAGCATGCAAAGATGTTATTTAATGTTTTAAAAAATTAAGCATGCTTTACTTTAACGCTATAAATAAATTCGAAAAAAATAATTTCTATTTTTTTATAGATTAAAGCACAGGACACACTAATATAACAATGGTAACTAAGGACTCACTATTGTAACTATAGACTCATTACTGTAACTATAGACTCACCACTGTAACTAAGCACTCCAGTGTTTCTTCCAAACTTTTTTCTCAGGGGGGGGGGGGGGGGGGCACTTGATATTTTTTGGGGGGGGGGGGTCAACATTTTCCGTGGGGGGGGGGGTGTGGACACTGGTAAAAGTATATATTTTCTATATAAATTACATTTCGTTCGGGGGGCGGTAGACTTTCCACCCCCCCCCCCCCCCCCCGAAGAGAAGCCTGGAAGAAACTGTGAAGCTCTATGATAACCAAGGATTCACTACTGTACCTAAGAATTGACCAAGGACTCACTACTGTAACCAAGGACTCACTACTGTAACCAAGAACCCACTTCTGTAACCAAGGACTCACTACTGTAACCAAGGACTCACTACTGTAACCAAGAACCCACTTCTGTAACCAAGGACTCACTACTGTAACCAATGACCCACTACTGTAACCAAGGACCCACTACTGTAACCAAGGACCCACTTCTGTAACCAAGGACTCACCCTAGCGGTGAACTGCTGGCCTCCACAACGGCCGTAGGGTTGCCCAGGAACCGGCTCTGGCTGGCTGTAACCAGAGTTTTGCCAGAGTTATCCCTCGTGAACGTGACGTTAATGAACGGAAACCCGTCTTGTAGTATCCAGGTATCCATGATGTGCTTGACGTCATGGCGATGATCCACCTAGTTTTAATCCAAGTTGGGTTAATCAACTTTTATTTGGACTCGACTTGAGTAAGAAAGTTACTTGTAAAATATCCACTACTTTGTTTTAGGGGTTAAGTTACGTGATTATTAAAATTAAACTGTAAATAAACATTATATTTTCGGCTTGTTAAAAAAAAAAAGAAGCAAAGCTTCCGCTCACGTCAGACAGAGAGTTCCAGAGATCGTCAGTCTTGGCATTTCCCCATTGGAACTTCTTCAGGTAGTTCTGTGATAAAAAAAATAAGGATGAATCTCAAACAGTATTGTAGACCAGCGGTTCTAAACTTTTTTGGAGATACCGAACCTCACCAATTTTCAAATGCGCATTCACTATCACCCGCGCTGACAAAATTATGTATCATAATTTATTTAGGTGTAGTAAGACCTCCGACGAACCTCGGAGACTCACCGAACCCCTGGGGTTTGATCGAACACAAGTTAAGAACCACTGTTCTAGACGATGATATGACTTATAATACCAATTATATCACCAAATATATGTTAAGGTTAACTTAGTTTTGTTATGGTAACGCAAAGACCACGTGACTTGATGAACTCACCGCGACGCCAGAATAGAACAAGTCGTCACCCATCATCGACTTCAGCATTCTTATGATCGACGACCCCTAAATGGAAATATGGATAGATAAATCATTATCTTATGATCGACGACCCCTAGATGAAAATATGGAAAAATAAATATTTATCTTATGATCGACGACCCCTAGATGAAAATATGGAAAAATAAATATTTATCTTATGATCGACGACCCCTAGATGAAAATATGGAAAAATAAATATTTATCTTATGATCGAAGACCCCTAGATGAAAATATGGACAGATTAATCGTTTAATGGCGGGGTTTTAGTGAGGAGAAAAGCGCAGACGAGGTTGTTTTAGGGGGCGGGTTCGTTAATGGATAAATACTGATCGAGTCCCTCTAAGGACCTGACGTATGACATTTCATCTCTTAGATATATTCATACAGGCAAACCCCTGATCTGCTATTAGCCTCCAAAAGACGAAACGTAATCTCTTACAATTGTATCTTAGAAAGTAAGGCCTTACATTGTAGTACATAATCTCATCAAAAGACTGGGTAAAGTCGGTGGCCCTTACCTTGTAGTACATAATCTCATCAAAAGACTGAGTAAAGTCGGTAGTCGTCTGTACGTCCATCACAATGGGGTGAGTGCCCACCTTGCTGTCGATCTTCATGGCCAAAAAGTAATATTTGTCCAAGAATTTCGTCAGCTTAAAAAATTATAAACCAAAGGTTTTTGCTGTGTTACAAAATTAATGCAGAATAGCGAGGAAGAACATGGATAAAACTGAAACTTTAATTTTTTAAATAGTTTTTAAACATCAAATTTTTAAAATGATACATCATCATCATCATCATCTTCATCATTCCTGTCAACCACTTATGGAGCATAGTAACGCAACTACACTTCTCTATCGTACTCGGTTCTAGGCGACTCCTCCAAGTTGGGTCCACCACATTCCGCTGCTTAACGAAAAACTGATCTTTTCCATGTTTGTTTTAGTCTACTTTCCTCTTTTCTTGGAGATTCCAATCTAGTGATTGTCTGGTCAAGTTGCTAGTTGGTTTACACAAGGTCAAATTGAAACATAGCTGAACTATGTTCCAACCACATATTTAAAGACCGACTAAAATGGCAAAGTTTGAACGAGTATATCAGAAAAACTTACAATTTCCCAGTCTGGTTCCTTGAGTGCCACGCCCACATACTCGATATAACTGGCGAATCCCTCGTTCAACCAGAGGTCATTCCACCAGTCCATGGTGACGATGTTACCAAACCACTGGAACAAAGAGACAAATTAGGGTCAAAGGTCATTCACCGGGTTACCAGAGGTCATTCCACCAGTCCATGGTGACGATGTTACCAAACCACTGGAACAAAGTGTCGTTTTAAATGTGAGGGGTAAGTCATAGCTGAATATGTAAGGGATCAGTCATTAGTGCTTATGTAGTGAGTAAGTTATAAGTGTTCTTGTGGGGGGGGGGGGGGTAATTCATCAGTGCCTATGTTCGGGGCAAGTCATCATAAGTACCAATGTAAAAGTTAAGTCAGATAACAGTTTTTTGACAGACATAACAATAAAGACAGTCCTATGCAGACATTGTTATAAACTGTTTTTTGACAAACATCATAACTTACTCAGTATAAGACAGATATCATAATTTACACAGTATTTAACATGTATACTTTACAAAGTCTTTCACAGACATCACAATTTACACAGTGAATGACAGACATCGCGAGATTACCATGTGCGAGATTTCATGACAGACCGTCTGCGCGACATCCTCATTGGCTGTCAGGGGCGACACCTCCGGGCTGTACAGGATGGTCGACTCTTTGAAGGTGATCAACCCCCAGTTCTCCATCCCGCCCCACTCAAACTCTGGCAGCGCTACCATGTCTGTGGGGAGAGGCAGCAAACAGATCGTGGGGATTTACATCAGGTATCAATACAACACACACATATACACTCACGCGCGCACACATACATACATACAAACACGCACATGCAGACAAAAAACAAACACACACACACGCTAACACACACACACGCACACATGCACACACACGAACACTAACACTAACACTAACACTAACACTAACACTAACACTAACACTAACACTAACACTAACACTAACACTAACACTAACACTATCAAACCAAAACACACACACTTACACACACATACACATGCACACACAAACACACACTATAACGCACAAACACTAGCTTGCACTAACAAACACACTAACACACACACATACCAATGTACTCCCTTCACTATAACACACACACTGACACACACACACACTAACACACATCTCTCCCCCTCTGATATTCTTAAAGGTTTTTTTTTTATTATTAAAACATTAGGATAATGACCTAATTTAGGCAAAAAACGTTATGATAATGACCTAATTTAGGGTAAAAACGTTATGATAATGATCTAATTTAGGGTAAAAACGTTAGGATAATGACCTAATTTAGGGTAAAAACGTTATGATAATGACCTAATTTAGGGTAAAAACGTTATGATAATGACCTAATTTAGGGTAAAAACGTTATGATAATGACCTAATTTAGGGTAAAAACGTTATGATAATGACCTAATTTAGGGTAAAAACGTTATGATAATGACCTAATTTAGGGTAAAAACGTTATGATAATGACCTAATTTAGGGTAAAAACGTTATGATAATGACCTAATTTAGGGTAAAAACGTTATGATAATGACCTAATTTAGGGTAAAAACGTTATGATAATGACCTAATTTAGGGTAAAAACGTTATGATAATGACCTAATTTAGGGTAAAAACGTTATGATAATGACCTAATTTAGGGTAAAAACGTTATGATAATGACCTAATTTAGGGTAAAAACGTTATGATAATGACCTAATTTAGGGTAAAAACGTTATGATAATGACCTAATTTAGGGTAAAAACGTTAGGATAATGACCTAATTTAGGGTAAAAACGTTAGGATAATGACCTAATTTAGGGTAAAAACGTTATGATAATGACCTAATTTAGGGTAAAAACGTTATGATAATGACCTAATTTAGGGTAAAAACGTTATGATAATGACCTAATTTAGGCAGTGGGTAGCTCATGTTGAACAGCTCCTGGAACTTCTCCAAGGTGAAGTTGGCGAGGTCAAGGCTGTATAGCGTCTGCTCAATACGGTCAGGCGCCGCAAATACCCGGATCTGTGGGAGGGTGAGTACGTTTTTGTAACATGGCAGCAGACTGCTTGAACTGCTGTGAAAAGCAGAATGTCTTTGAGGAAATTAAGAAATGGGCCAATGGTAACCTCAGATCTCCTGCGTGTCACACACATTCTTCGTTGTTTTTTAAATTTGTTGTTGTTGTTGTTGTAGCTATGAGTTATAATGTTTTGTTACGAGCCGTTGTGTCAGGTACCGAACTCTCCTCAACCTTTTTGTCGGGAGCCCATTTGTCGTGAATGGGGAACCGGAATGGCAAACTGTGACACGGATGGATCACTCGAGGTGAAACTCCAGCTTCTCAAGACATCAACAGCAACACCCCTGCGCCCCGCCCCCCTGCACATTCAACACCCCCCTCCCTCGCAACACCAAACAGCATGCAGTATAGCACGGCAGGTAACCCTTCCCTCTCCCCCCCCTCCCAATCAGTAACCAAGTGACCTCTCCCCCAACAACACTTACCGGGACACCTGACCTTGTCCGAGTCTCCGTGTAATTGAAGTCACAGATGACGAAACACACCAGGTACGTGCTCATCTTGGGTGAGCGTTGAAACTTGGTACTCACGAGCCCAGTATTCCAATCACTCGTCTTTTGGCGTGTGAACAAACAGGAATAAAGAAATAGTATAAGAAGTATTGAAACATGCATTTACTTCAATATTTGTAAAATAGTATAAGAAGATACGGGCATAAGGAATGGATTTACTTCGATATTTAGTTAAACATCCTTTATTAAGTTTATAGGTTTATCGAACCAGCGAGTTTTTCATAGAATCTCGGCTGGACAGTAACGGACTCAACCGAGGATAGTCTCGAAATTATTCGGAAGGGGCATATAAAAATCTGACTAATTTTTGTTCGACTTTACTAAAGATTGGATGCAGAGTTTCTTCCAGGTATCTCCACTCCTCGGAGAAAAAAGTCTGGAAGAAACACTGATTGGATGTATTTGATGTTTGTAGTATTTTCGGGCTACCTGTCAAGTGCTACTACACAGATAAGTTACCTCCCCGTCCTGAGGCATGTTGGACAAGGCGATGTACTCTGGTCTGTGGATGAGGGTGATGGTGAACTCGGCCTTGATGTTGGGCTCGTCAAAACACGGGAAGGCTCGGCGGGCAAAGTTTGGTTGGAGTTTTGTCGTCACGACGTTTCTAAGTTCAGACAAAATCAAATGGGTTGTGACGTGGTAGGAAGGCAACACAACATAGTTAGTGTTGTAAGGTGTTAGTGTTGGTGTGGGTACTCTAGTCTAGTTAGTGTTGTAGTGGCTACTCTAGTCTAGTTAGTGTTGGTGTGGATACTCTAGTCTAGTTAGTGTTGTAAGGTGTTAGTGTTGGTGTGGGTACTCTACCTAGTCTAGTTAGTGTTGTAGTGGCTACTCTAGTCTTGTTAGTGTTGTAGTGGCTACTCTACCTAGTCTGGTTGGTGTTGTAGTGGCTACTCTACCTAGTCTAGTTAGTGTTGTAGTGGCTACTCTCGTCTTGTTAGTGTTGTAGTGGCTACTCTAGTCTTTTTAGTGTTGTAGTGGCTACTCTAGTCTAGTTAGTGTTGTAGTGGCTACTCTACCTAGTCTAGTTAGTGTTGTAGTGGCTACTCTAGTCTAGTTAGTGTTGTAGTGGCTACTCTACCTAGTCTCGTTAGTGTCAGTGTTGTAGTAGTCGCTCTTGTAAAACCCGACCGTCGTTTGGTCGAAGACGCCGTGATAATTCAAGGTCAGCCTGACCGAATCGTTGACGTCACTTCCGACCTGTATTACAAAAAACTCGTGTGGCGTGTGGTAGAAGGTCCTGATGACGTCAATCTCAGCTCCCGTCCTGTTGTCGGTCACGTGGGTCCCGGTCACGTTCACGTACAGGGGGTGCGCGTGCAGGATGATGTAATGGGTTGACGTCACAACTTGCGCCTGGAGATTTAAAAAAAAACTTTTAAAAAAGTTAGAAACGGCTGAAGACAACGTTTAGAAAATTACTATTTACACTTTCTGTTTATTTTTATTTTGAATACTATTCAGTTGGTGTTAAACTTTGGTGAAGAAGCATTCTTTTTTTTCGAAAATTATGGTTATGTTAAAGTAGGTGCGACCTTGTCTAGGTGAGGTCGGGGGGGGGGGTGTTAAACCCGCACAATAAATAGTAGATGCCATCCCGTACTTTTTCACAAACCTCACTCGGATAATCTGCAGGTCACGTCTGCCCATAGAGAACGGACAAAAAGGTCACGTGACGATATGGGAATAGGGCTGGTAAGTAGGTCACCAACCAGTTTTAGGGCTCATTCAGGTTTTATTGAGCCGTATAACCGGTTGGTGACCTACTTACCAGACCTATAGCTGGGTGGATGAGACCGTTGTGTGACGTCATTGAACACAGCTCACCCAATGAGACAAGGACACGATTTGTTCAAGAAAAACAAAGTGAGTACCTCTATGGTCACGTTTCCAGAGAACTCGTGAGCCTCCTCGTAAAAGTTGGGGTAGATTGTGACGTCATAATGCACCGGAAGTACGTCTCGCGGCAAGCGATAGGACAGCCATGGGGTGACGTCATCTTCCTGCTGTAAATGATGGCCGAAAAGGAAAGATTTTCATGAAGCTACTGTCAACATTTTCAAATGTCTGTCTGTCTGTCACGTAACTTGAAGCATCCAGGGAAACTACTCTGATAGAATTTGCTTTTTTTTTTAATATTCGATTGTCTTACAATTTAACTACATTTAAAAAAAATAAAATGTGTTATTTGCAATTTCTTTTAATTAATAGATTTCCATGTATACTAATATTTTCCAAATGCTGGATTTGATATGATTGTGCTCATATATGATGATTGTTCTGTCTTCCTCTCTAAAGGGAACAACCAACAACAGATCAAAACAAAACAAGGCAAGAAAATCGAAAAGTAAAGGGAAACAACCATTTTTCAGATTTAAGTATTTGAGTCTTTTTCTTTTTTTTTATGCGTATCGTCGGATAAGCTTTGATGCTCTTTTCAAAATAACTAAAGTTGTTTTAAAAAATAAAAGAAAAGAAACAAATAAATAAATTATAAATGTTAGCATTGCCAAATTTGATTGTAATATAAAAAATCTAGCAGCGACCCCGTAAACTTTTATTGTGTCTGTATTTTATTAATCATAATGACCGACACTTTCAACAATCTAGTGGTCATTGTTAATTTTCCTGTAGTGTTTAGTGACTGGGTCCTTTATCGATCCATCGTCATCCCATTTAAATAAAACGAACAGGCTCTCAAGATGGAGCTTGCGCATGTATTAGCACAGGGGTCGGCAACCTTTTCAGACGGAAGAACCAAAAGTTACAATTTACAAAATTTCACAAATTTTAAAGAGCCACAAACATTTTTATGTGTAATTCGGGTGCCCTGTCAAAACGGCCCGGGACAAATCGGCCCCGTCAAAACGGCCCCGTTAATACGACCCCGTCAAATCGACTCCCGACAAACCGACCCCGTCAAAATAGCCCCGTCAAAAGGGCCCCGACTTATTGGCTCCCGTCAAATGGGCTCCCGTCATATTGACTTGCGACATATAGGCTCCCGACAAATGGGCTCCCGATATTTAGTCTCCCGACAAATGGACTCCCGACATATTAACCCCTGACAAATAGGCTCAGGACATATTGGCTCCCGACAAAGCGGCTCCCGACATATTGGCTCCCGACATAAGGGCTCAAGACAAATGGGCTCCCGGCAAATGGGCTCACGACATTTTGGCTCCCGGCAATTGGGCTCGCGACATATTGGCTTTTGACAAAATGACTCCCGACATATTGGCTCCAGAAAAATGAATGATATGACCACTATTGGCATAAAAGTAACCATTGTGTCCTACCTCCAATACCACCATAACCTCTTTTTAATGCCCGAATGAAATTATTTTTTTCATGAACCAACATTAATTCACAAACAAATCGAGCCCTTAACAGCTAAATTCCACCAATTCTAAAGTTTTGATAATGTTTACAACAGAAAAGATCTGTTGCTTAAAAGCGAGCACAGAAGTGTAAATGTATGATATACATGATGTTAACATGATAACAGCATTTTGTTTTGATAACCTACAAGCACAGTGGCGTAGCGAGGTCGGGTGTCACCCGGTGCGGCACTTAATGGTGTCATCCCCCCCCCCCCAGAGGCGTTGCGACCCTTCCCGGGGACAAACTTTCAAGTTTTCGATTTGCACCCCCCCCCCCCAAACTTTAGATTTGCACCCCCCCCCCTCAACTTTTTCTCTATATATTTTGCTATTTTTTGCCTTGGTGTCACCCCCCTAAATGGTGTCACCCGTTGCGGTCCGCACCCCCCCCCCCCCCCGCCTCGCCTTCGCTACGCCTCTGCGTTAGGCTACAGAGGAGTTAAACGAAGAGATCAACTTCTACTTACGATGGATATTTTTTAATATATAAATATTCTGAAGGCAACATTTTGTATTTTATATGTCCTGATTATGTATTTATACTATATTATTATGATTGCCTACTACTGCTAAAAAGTTTATTTATAGGCTGATTCTATCAATGTCTTGCACGACAAAGTGATGTCGCCTGCAGTGTTATTATAACGATTGGGCTCTGTTTGACCCACAAACACTGAATCCCACTGCCGAAACGGTGGGGGGGGGGGGCTTTTTGGAACTTTTAACCTTTTTCTTTTTTAAAATTATTTATATGTAACAAATATTAAAATTCCATTGTAAAAGTTTTAATTTTTTATGAGGGAAAAGGGCCCCTATGTGCCTTGGGCCCCCATGCCTTGCTTACGCTAGCTTTACGGTAGCTACGCCACTGTGTCAGTGGTCCTTTTGTCTGGAGCCAAATTGACAGGAGCCTTTTTGTCGGGAGCCAAAATGACGCTAGCCTATTTGTCGGGAGTCGTAATGACGGGGGCCGTTTTGTGGAGAAACTAAATGGCGGGAGCCTATTTGTCGGGAGTCGTAATGACGGGGGCCGTTTTGTGGAAAAAACTAAATGACGGGAGACTATATGTCGGGAGCCAAAATGACGGGAGCCTATTTGTCAGGAGCCTTATTGACTGGAGCCCTTTTGTCGGGAGCCTATATAACGGGAGCCTATTTGTCGGTAGCCTAAATGACGGGAGCCTATTTGTCGGGAGTCTATATGACGGGGTCCATATGTCGCTGGCCTTTTTGACGGGGCCGATTTGACGGGGTCGTTTTGACGGGGTCGTTTTGTCGGGGTCGTTTTGACGGGGCCGTTTCGTCATTGGCCGAATTGACGCCGCACGGTAATTCGCTAGTGGAAAGCATGGAACCATTGACAAGGGGCTGGCCACAACACAGTTGTGGGCCTGGCCACAGCACAGTTGTGGGGCCGGCCACAGCACAGTTGTGGGGCCGGCCACAGCACAGTTGTGGGGCCGGCCACAGCACAGTTGTGGGGCTGGCCACACAGTTGTGGGGCTGGCCACAGCACAGTTGTGTGGCTGGCCACACAGTTGTGGGGCTGACCACAGCACAGTTGTGGGGCTGGTCACAGCACAGTTGTGGGGCTGGCCACAGCACAGTTGTGGGGCTGGCCACAGCACAGTTGTGGGGCCGGCCACAGCACAGTTGAGTGGCTGGCCACAGCACAGTTGTGGGGCCGGCCACAGCACAGTTGTGGGGCTGGGCCTGCTGTGGGTTAGCTGTCCCTGTACGCTCTACTCCACCTAATCTCAGTGGGTTTTTTTTTTGTTTTGTTTAAAGTTGTTTCTAGTTTTACAGTATCATATTTTTTTGAGTTTTGAAAATAAAATAATATAATTATTAAGGAACTGGAGAGCCGCATCTTGACATCAAAAGAGCTGCATGCGGCTCGCGATCCGCAGGTTGCCGACCCCTGCCATAGAACTATGGGACGTCTATAAATTATTGAAACTGAACTCTGTTTTTACATTAAACGTGTGTACATTTTCTATTGAAAAAAATCTACAATATGTATAGTATGCTCAAGTACTTTATTATGTGTGAAAAAAAAAATCCATTCTGTTAAATACGAACAGACTGTTCTATATAATAGTTTCGGTATTCTGTCACTCTGTCTATATGTCACTTTGTCTATATGTCACACTGTCTATATGTCACTCTGTCTATATGTCACTCTGTCTATATGTCACTCTGTCTATATGTCACTCTGTCTATATGTCACTCTGTCTATATGTCACTCTGTCTATATGTCACTCTGTCTATTTTTCACTCTGTCTATATGTCACTCTGTCTATATGTCACTCTGTCTATATGTCACTCTGTCTATATGTCACTCTGTCTATATGTCACTGTCTATATGTCACTCTGTCTATATGTCACTCTGTCGATATGTCACTCTGTCTATATGTCACTCTGTCTATATGTCACTCTGTCTATATGTCACTCTGTCTATATGTCACTCTGTCTATATGTCACTCTGTCTATATGTCACTCTGTCTATATGTCACTCTGTCTATATGTCACTCTGTCTATATGTCACTCTGTCTATATGTCACTCTGTCTATATGTCACTCTGTCTATATGTCACTCTGTCTATATGTCACTCTGTCTATATGTCACTCTGTCTGGTACTCTTTAGAGAAAACATAAGGAAAATTAAAACTTCCACAGGGGACTATAGTGACGTTACATGAAACGAATAAGACTTTTTTTCAAAATGAAACCAAGTATATTAATCTTCAACGCCGGAAAAGTATACACAATAAAATCACGTCATTGATTCATAGGGAAAATAAAATTAAAAATCTAATGTCGAAAATAATACACGATAATAATGACGTCCTCGATACTTGATTATAAAAACACTAACATTACCACTTAATGGTCTCTACCGAATGGTCTCGAAATTATATATATATATATATATATATATATATATATATATATATATATATATATATATATATATATATATATATATATATATATATATATATATATAAATTTCGCAGTGGCAGCACTTTGACAGGGTGCGATGCGATTTTTCTCTATATACTTTATATAAAAAATAAAAGGCGAATGCAGTTTGACACCGTTCAGCCATGAAAGTTTGGGGAATTGATTGAATTACTCTCTAGATCTGCGAAACAAAATTAAATTTCTTATGGGCGGCGCCCGGGAGGGTGCGATCTTTGTCAATACATGGTTTGGCGCCCCGAGTTCCATAGCGGCTAACTTAACATTTGGTATTATGTCAAATGGGCGTCCTGTATAGTGCTGGTAAGTAGGTCACCAACCAGTTTTACGGCTCAATAAAACCTGCATTAGCCATAGAACTGGTTGGTGACCTACTTACCAGCCCTATAGCGGGTAAGCGGTAAGGGATACTACTATATTCAGCGGTAGAACTGCCGCAGGAGCAAACGCCATTATATTACTAGTAATTATCCTAATATATAAAAGCCCATGTGCGCAATTCTCTCTCTCTCTATCTCTCTCTCTCTCTCTCTCTCTCTGTCCGCAAAATATTTTCGCAGGATATCACATCAGAATCTCCAGCGATATATGGAGAACTTGATACAGACTTTTGTTGCAAAAAATATGGTAGGTGTTTT